CTTTGTGTCCAGGTGCAAATGATGAACATTGTAGAAGAAAATCATTGGATATCCATTCTTTGTGGACACCGTATCGCTTTTTCACAATGACAATTCTAAGCCACACTTTATTTTTGAGCTGGAATTAATACTACATGTAGATGTTATTTTAAAATATCCTGCAAAGGAAGAGAGGGATCTTTCTCCTACCAGGTGCTTCCCACCCCAGTGGGAATACGCAAAAGGCTTTTATGAGCCAGGCTCCATCCATAAGCACACAGGGTATGAAACATAGACCATTGCATTCAAATGAAAGCGTAAGAAGAATGATAGTCTCGGGAATGCTGCAATTGAACTAGAGGACAAGGGCCAAGACTGTGTCCCTATAAAAGGGGTCATAAAACCCATAAATGAGCAGGCTCAACTTTCTAAAAAAAAAAAAAATGGTTTTTCAAAATGGGAAATACTCAACAGCACCAAAATTTTCTCTTCACTCTAATAGTTTTGAATGGATGACCTCATGCACTTACACACCCACACCCAAGAACAACTATGAGGAAGAGAAACTTCAACATCATTTTTCTTGCTACTGCTGCCAACCTTTGAGAAAATGAATGGAATGCTCACAATGCCATAAAAAAAAACAACAACATATAGTATAGAATGCAATGATAATGGGAGAATACAAAAAATAAAAGATAATATAATCTATTCTCTAAAACACATGATTTTTCAGTACCTACTGCACTGACAAATATATTGGATAGAAAACAAAAATCTTCCTTGTTATATTTTTATTTCCAAAATCTAGGTCCCCAATATATATGTATATATACTGTAAAATTTCCCATGAAGGCAAAGATTTCTATCTTGGTTTGGAACCCCCTGTATCTCTAGCACCTAGTATAGTGTCTTGAATATAGTAGGCATTCAGTACATTTGTTGAATGAATTATTGAATGTATCCTGTAGAGGAAAACATGATATCATGATGAAAATAAGAACCTCCTATCTATGCCTGCTTTCTGGTTGAAGTCCCAAATGTAGACTTCATTGACTGATGACCTAGAGAAAATGCCATATTTTCAGACATAGGGTGTCTGATGGTTCTACTCTTGCCCTTTCCTCTACTCTGAACACAAAGAATCTCTCTTTTTCCTGCCAGGGTCCCCATGCTGCTATCAAAACATAGCTCAATAGGACTGCCTCATGGAGAGTTTTCCTGATTAATCAGATTTGAACCCTCACTCTCCTTTACCTTATGCATTCATTATGAGTGATAATAGTTGACATGATGACAGCATTAGGAAAACTTTATCTAAATTTATTGAAACTTTCCTTCTGCTCTTTCCTTTAGTTCTCATTTCTTGTGATATCCCACTTTCCATTGCCTTTCCTTACTGGACTGGTCTTTCCCTGGCCAAGGGATTTATTAATGACACCCTCTAACCCCTCCTCACCCAAACCTTCCACTGTTAAATACCTGTTCTCTGACAGTTTCTCAAGGTAAGTTGGCAACTGACCCATAATCATAGTATATGAGGTCAGACAATTAAGTGCATGAACTCATCCTAGAAAAAGTGCTACATACCTCATTGCTGAATATCACTATGGTCACCTTTGAAGTACTCCCCTTGGGAAGCTACTCACCGATGCCAGTGCTTAATCCACCCTTCAAAGCAATTTTGGAAATATTTTTCTGGAATGGCCATCAGAGCTGTCATTATATTACCCTTGATGTCCTGAATATCATAAAAATGTCTTCCTTTCAATATTTCCTTTATCTTTGGGTAAAGAAAGAAGTCATTGGGGGCCCAGATCAGGTGAGTAGGGAGGGTGTTCCAATACAGTTATTTGTTTACTGGCTAAAAACTCCCTGACAGACAGTGCCATGTGAGCTGGTGCATTGTTGTGATGCAAGAGCCATGAATTGTTGGCGAAAAGTTCAGGTTGTTTAACTTTTTCATGCAGCCTTTTCAGCACTTCCAAATAGTAAACTTGGTTAACTCTTTGCCCAGTTGGTACCAATTCATAATGATATCTGACATCAAAAAAAGGTTAGCAACATCATCACAACAAGTTTGTGAACTTAATTGCCAGACCTCGTACATAACAACTTAAGAGATAACTGATGCAATTGGACTGAATACTGATCTCATCATCATGAGATCTCATTTCTAGAAAGAGCTCTGACACTAACCAGTTTTGTAAACTGGGGCTACTCAGTCTCTCTGAGCTTCTTTTCTCATGTATAAAATGTGAGGGTTTGTCTAGGTTAGTGTTTCTGTAAGTAAGTGCTGTAATAGTAGCCCAAGAATATATCTTTCAAACATATATTCCGGGCTCACATTCGTTTTGGAATTGTTACGTACTTTGTCACCTTCTTAAATATTAGCAAGTTAAGGTTCTGACAAGTCTTGAATTAAGAAACCATTTTTCTTTACTGGATAATTTACTTTTTCATGGGGGAGGGGTAACATGTTGGTAGTTCCCTAGAGCTCTGTGAAGGAATCCCTAGTTGAACTTTCCGGGAACCTTAGCTGCAATTGCACATGCCTTTCTCTCCAATGCCAAGTGCTACGTATAAGTAGGTCAGGATCTTGGTCTTTCAGGCATATGAGATCAAATAGGGCAGAGACAAAAAAACAGTATTAGAAAGGATGGTAATTCTAGACTAAACGTTTGTTCAAGTTATAATGGGCATGAGGACTGAGAAGCTAGTAGGTCCACCCAGAGTGAGGGCAGTGAACGAGGAAGGGGAAGGATTCACAGGTGAAGTGCCGTTTGAGCTGAGCACCAAGGGGCATTACGATAATTCACAAGGTAGAGAAGATGGGAAAGGATATTCCAGGCAGAAGGAACCACATGGTATAGTGGCATAAAATACCAAGATATATTCTAACCCTGTGAAATAATTTTATGGTTAGGAAGTCAAGGAATGGAGGCTGCCTGGGGAGAAAGGAGCAGGAGATTGTTCTGGGAGATTGGTAGAGATCTTCTTGCCATGTGCTTTAAGTGTTATTCTAAGGAGTCTGAAATGTATGCAGTAGGTACCAGGAAAGCATATCTTTACCTTGGTTTTTAATCGGAGGACTTACATAATCAATGAGAATTTTACAAAGAGAATTATAGAAAGAAAAAGACAATTTCAGAGTACGGAGAGAAATTCCTAGAGTGCCAAGTCAAACCGGAAGGGAAAGAAGATGGCAGGGAAATGAATTATGATACTATTAAAATGGCTCACTTAAGAGATGATGAAAGGCTGGATAATGACAGTGGAAAAGAATGAGAGAGAGGAAACAGATTTAAAGGAAATTTAGAAGCTCAGTAAATGGTGAGAAGTGATTGGATATGAGACAAGAAAGAAGGAGAAATACAAAATGATTCAGAAATATTTAGCTTGGACAAGTAAATGTGTGCTTATCAAAGTTACCAGGATAGGAATTTAGAGGGGTGAACTGTTTTGTAGATTTTGAATTAGACTGGGGAGTCTATTACACAGAGTAATTTTCCTGTAAAAACATGTCAATTGATTTTTGTGTTTCAGAGCTCAATAATGGTTTAACTAAAGACTGTATTCTTTTTAAGGAGATTCAACATCTACAAAAAAAATCTACTACAAGCTAAAATTTGGTAGATATTCAATATATGCTTGTCTACAAAGCATTCAATATGTGCTTGTCAACAAAGCAGCATTTTAATTCATATGTTTCTTTTGATTTTGCCTCTAAAAGATAAAAATAATCATTTCTAAGACTATAAATCCATTTAGTTATATATTCAGTCAAAAACTCTCTTTTAGCTATGGATAATGCTACATACACTGATATTTCAATACACATTTGTAAAATGATTTCCATTTTCTAGGAGGGAACAGTACAGATACCAACAATTTAGTGATTATTTAAATATTAAGCAATTATTTTTTGAATTAATCCTAAATTTGATCTTAACACTAAATGTTATTACTGCTAATACATTAAAATGTATTATGTTTATAGTCATGGAGTGGAATTTTTTCAAAAGCATCTTTGTATGTCAGTAAAAATTAGAAAAATAATCTTTTAACTATTGAAACAAAATTTTTAAAAGTCCATCCTTGCTTATCGTACAGAACTTAAAAAAGATTTTAAAGAATTAGTCTTTTCCAAAATGCTTTTGAAGTATAAGGTTCTTTTATTTCAGGAAAAAAGAACTTCCTTTTAGAGGCAGGATGCGGAGACTAGCATGACCCAAATTGTTTACACAAAAGCAGTCCACACCTCCTTAATTAGGTCAAAGAATTTTGCCTTTACCTGCAACAGCTGCCTTCTATTAGCACTAGAAACAAATTGTCCAATCTATGGTCACTGAACTATGACCACTTCCCCATTTTGAATTTTTTGTCCAAAGAGACCAGGAGTCCAGAAATTGAGTTGGTGGTGAGGAGCTTAGCTAGACATAACTTACCGGAGAAAGGGAAGTACAGTGTCCGCCTTAAAAACAAACTGAACAATCAAAATGACTACACATTATAAAATGAACACAATCAGGACAATCAGAGAATGACCCCTGAGGATTTTTTTTTCCTTTTACATCGTAAAGAAATAAAGATAAAAACTGAATGGGCTTATGACAGGCAGGGCAGTTTCTCCCTCCCCACCTCTGCCAACTGCGCTGCATTTAAGGCAGCTCCATGAAATTGTTTGGAAATAAATTTGGAAGCTGAGGAAGGCAGGGACATGCAATGATTGTTCCCACTCTTCTGGGGTTCAGGATAAAAGGTTGATTGTCTAAGCCTTCAGATTTGGCAGATTTATAAATGCATTTTAGTGTACCCGAAAGAAAATTTTGCGTTCTTGAGAAAAGGCAATGCAAAAAAAAAAAAAAGAGTTGAGACACAATGTGCCTTTATCTCAGAGCAAAACGATCTTATTTCGGTAGAGTCAAAACAGAGGGCAGGCAAGTCAGATTGTGGTTTCTGAAATCCAACAACCTAGTATCGCTGTGCCACTCTCTCCCCGGTTCAGGGCCACTCCCTTAACTTGATATCTGTTTACTTTAGAGGAGGCAGTTTGTGCGAAAGGATCATAAATATCCTGGCCTCCTGCCCCAGCAGCCATGACAAGCAAAAGAACACACTCATTTAGAGATAGCCCTTATGATATTTAAATGGGTGGGTTAATTTTTTATCCACTTTAATAACTAGATTATTCCCCCACAGACACACTTCCTTGCTTTCTATTTCTGCTCTAAAGCCGTGGGCACAGAAATCTCTGCCGGCAAATTGCTTCAGAGCGCATTCATCGCAGGACAATCCTATAAGGAACAGTTAAGTTCACGGCATCTGGATTCCGGGTCCTTTTCCGACATGGCAGGTGTGAGTGGCTGTATAAAGTATTCTATGTTTATCTTCAACTTCTTGTTCTGGGTAAGTGTTTTTCTTTTAATTATCAATTGTATGCCAGCAAAGGGATCTTGATCTACCTATCATAAATGAGAACAGACGCTGCACTAAAGAAATAGGAGGAGAAGGAAAACGCATTTTTCCATTTACTTGTTTGGATGTGTTTGTTCTTTCTTTGGTTATTTTAGCAATTGGAAATGAGCCAAGGACTCAAAAAAAAGTGCACTTCAGGATCTGTGAGGATAAACATTTTATAAATGTTTTGATATTGTTGCAAAAACAATCACAGAGGAAAAACTATCCCTGAACTAAAGGACAAGTATTCTTAGTTGTAGATCACCGAGGCCTCTCTAGTCTAAGGACCCTGTGGGAAAAATCTGATCTGATTCCATCCGGCCGGAGTCCAAGCCCCTGAATCCCAACCTTTACATCTGGGTTTGAAACAGGTGGATGGTGGGGTGTCAGAGGATAAAGACATGAGAAGAGGATTATTTTCAGAGACCCAAAAAAGAACACTGGGTCACATAAAAAACTTGAGTGGGAAGCCATAAGATGATTTAATCATGAAAAGATTAAATTAAACCACGAGGTTTGTATCACCAGTTTAAAGTTAGGATTTTGATGTGTCATCACCCCACCCTTTAACCAACAGAGTTTGTATTTTAGTAAGTTCTTATGTTTTCCTTAAAATCTGTTGATATAAGGCACAGCAAATAAATTGATAAGTAGTCTCTATCATTGGAAAAAGGAAAAATTACATCTGGAAAGGCAATAAGGTAAAGGGCAGGCCAGGATGTTGGAAAACTGGTGTTATCATTTTTAGTATATATGGTACAATCATAGATTGTTCAAAAGTAAATCCATGCAAATAGCTGAAAGTGCTCAAATGAAAAAGTCATTTTGTATATTGATTTAAAAACTGGCTTATGCAATATAAGCAGGAGACAGTTCTGGTGTTGTTTTTTACCTGGTTACCTTTAGCAAATAGGCAGCTGATATCTAAATGTTGGTAAATTTCTGTTGTTTTAAAATAATGATATACCTAATTTAATGTACCAACAATAATATAGTCTTATTGTATATAATGACTTTCCATTCAATGTCACTAGCCCTAATGAATACAGATGATATGTTGGTGAAGTGAGTATATAAATAAAATAAAGAAGGTCCGTCCTTTGTGCTTTTTCTTTTGTCTAGAAAGATAGACTGTCTTTGCAAATAGTAAATGAAGCTCATGACTATATGCCAGTTTTTTAAGTTAGTCCTGATAAATTTCTTCCCTGGAATATTTAAAATTGGTTAAACATTGAGAGTAGAATATAAACAATGAAATGCCTGTGTACTTTGGTTGATTTTGTTTTTAGCTTTTTATTATGGAAAACTTTGAACATTCACAAAATAGGACAGGGTAGTCCACCCCATCATCCAGCCCCGACAGCCATGAAACCACAGCCAAACTTTCCGTGGCCATACTCTTGTCCACCTTCCCCACCCCATATTATTTTGAAGCAAATCCAAGATATATAATTTTATCTGTAAATATTTTAGTATATATCTCTAAAAGATAAATCATTCTTTTAAAAATGTCACCACATTGTCATTATCACACTCAAAACTTAATAAGAATTTCACAATCAATTATCAAATATCCATCCAGAGTTCAAATTTCCAAACACCTCATAAATGTACCTATTTGAATTAGAATCCAAATAAGGTCCGCCGATTGTGCTTGGTTGATGTATCTTTTATGTCAAGTTTCATCTTTAGGTTATCCCTTCAGTTTTATCTCTGTTTTTCTCCCTTGAAATTATATGTACTGGTGTGGGTTGTCTTATGACAATTTCCATGGTCTGAATTTTGCTATTTAGATACCCACAGGGTAGTTCCTCTATCCTCTGTATTTTCTCTAATTTCGTAGTCTAATCTGGCAGCTTGATAAGATTCAGGTTATTACTTTTGGCAGATACAACTACTTTATAAGTGATGCTGTGTTCTTTCATCAAGAAGTACATAAAATCTGACCAAGTCACTTTTTGTGATGTTAGTAGCCATTGATGCTCAAGAGCCTAAATCCTTAGTTCATTGAGAGTTTCAAATTGGTGGTACTCCATTTCTATTAGTGTTCCTTTATGTATTAGCTAGAATGCTTTCAGGAAGGAGAAATGTATCATTTACTGATGGGTCACTAGTGGTATCTAGTTTTTATTTTATTTTATTTTTTTATTGTTAGTTTCAGGTGTACAAAACAATGCAATAGTTATCCTTTTTACCCTTCACACAGAAACAACCCTCCCCCCATCTACTGCCCTCCCACCCCCGATATCATGCTTATCTAGTTTTTATTTTAAACGGGAGCCAATGTCCCTTACCCTTACCTAAGAGATTTCAAAATGATGAGTTAATTTCCTGGTATCATGCAACAGTGATAAGCAAGTATTTTTGTAAGTATCCTATGAAATAATAAATTTAAATGCTATCATAGTTCTCATCCTCATTGATGTGGAATTTATTCCATCTTTGGTCAGTGGTAGCATCTTCACATTGGCTCCTGAGTTCTTTTGACATGATCCTAAGAACTTTGATAACTTCTTCACTATTTGGTATGACAGAGTGTTCCAGGCTATCTTCCCTCTTTCCTGCCCCAGACCTGGCATCACTCATTTCTCCAAGAAATCCTGATACCTGTTTTTAAAGAACTGTAACCATTGTCTTTTTGTGATACAGAATATATATGGCCCATTTAAAGAAATCAAAATTTGTATGCTAATAAGTGCATGACTCCTATTTTCATAACATGTCCCAAAGTACCCAAACCTGTAGCAATCTTCATTATGAAATTATGAAACAGTTAAAATATATCTCTGTCATAAAAATACAGCATACAAAGTGAATACATCAAAGGTCAGTGTTTCATTAAAAAGTTAACCAGGAATTTGGAATAGATTTGAATTTTAAACAAAATGATACAGTCTAACAAAGGGGTATGTTATGGGTCTAGGATTATATATGGAAGAGTAGAGTTCAAGGTGAGTTGTAGAGATCTTTACTGTACCTAGACAGTGCTATTGCTTTCCTAGGGATCCCTGATTTTTTTATGGCTACCATTACTTCTTTATTTTTCTGATAATGAAGATAAAAGTCTTTCTGATATTGTAGATTTCAGTTAAATATTTCTAACTTCTCTAGGGCAAGAGGCCTTGTTCTTGCCATAAACTTAGTGGTGGGATCTATAATCTCTATATGAGCATCTTTTTTTTTTTTCTATATGAGCATCTTGAAGTAGAGTCTTTGGGTGAGAACAATAGTTGTAAAGACCAATGATAACTTCTCAGTCAACAGGTGACATCTTTCTATTAAAAATTTAGACAGCAGGAGGAGTCCCTGAGGTTAGGGAACCATTCTTATTTCTACTCTCCCCTTTACCCTCAACCCAGAGTTCTCAGTTGGAATTTTACAATCCTTCATAGGAAATTAGCAATTTGTCACATTCTTAATGTTTACTTAAGCAAAATTTTAACAGTCCCACTGATGTGGTTTTCTTGTAGATATCCACGGCCTTATGTTTTCAAATGCATTCTTTCTGGTGTAACTTGCAAGACTAAGCCTTTGCAAAGTAAGGCCAGATGTGAAAATATCTCTAAGATAGGCATATGGTCATTGAAGCTAAACATACCAGTTTCTTTTGTGAGAGAACTTGAGATATGCCACATAAATATGCAGTGATTTCCATTTGTTAGAATTGGTAATTGAAGAAAAACATGTGAAAGTGAAAATCACTTTTAATCACTCATGCTGGAGTTTGATACAAGTTAGAGTGAATTGGAGGTACTGTAAATAATACATTATAGGGACAAAACCTATTTCTTTGAGTTTTGTATCAAAACAGATGAACTGCCCACCTTTTGTTATGCTCCTCTCAAATAAGTCAGGCTTGGGAGTACTGCAGATACTTGGGTTGTCTTAGGCATCTGGGTAAGCATGGACCAGGGGGCCTTCTTCCAGTGGATGCGTGGAACCATTGCCAGAGGAGGAGAGCTATGGAGAGGCCAGCTTTTTATGAAGGAAAAGCAGAGGGAAGGAACATTACCAATCGCAAATGAGGTGAGGTGAGAAAGAGGAGCCAAGCTGTAAAGCCAAACGCATCAGCGAGTGAAAGAGGCCAATGCCTAAAGCGGTGTGAAGAGAGCAGAAGGAAGGCAGAATTTGGAGAGTGTCCAGGAACGAGCATTTTGATGCTCATCATTGTATTTTATGTGGTGCTTGGGTCTCTACGTTAGATGTGCTGAGGGCAATTAAGAGTTGAGGCAGAGCAGCCATAACTATGAGATAAGGGTACATTAAAAACGAGGGCACAGTTATATTTCATCCTGTCAGTCGATGAAACCCCTCAAGCTAATGACCTGACTATGGCTGAAATGTATGAACTTTGTAAATACAGCAATTGCCTGCTATTAGGCAATCAGGGTGGAACTCTAACAATGACAAAGGTGTTGGAGCCCAGGGGTTGAGGCCTCAGGCCACCCTCAGCTCCTCTATCACTAGCTGTGTGACCTTAGGGAAATTAGTTAACCTGTCTACTTTAGTGTCCCTCAGCTGTAAAATGGGAATGAATAGCAGTGGTATCTCCCCAACGGAGCGGTTATGAATGTTAAATTATTTAATTCATATAAATAACTCAGAACAATGCTAAATAAACGTCTAAGAAGCAGGCATTTCAGCCAACATTGTGTAAGCATTTTATGAGACAATATGAAACCACTGTGCACAGTGAAGAATATATTCCAATGTTGGATTTTGAAACAGAGGAGGAAATAAGATGGCAAGGATTAAAAGGTAGAAATTCTTCTATCGTAAATTAAGGGAAGAGAAAGAAATTTTCTTTTATAAACAGACATTCAAATCTTGAATTCATTCCATATTGCTTTGTGGCCTGGAACACGTCCCCTGACTTTTGGGGCCCCCGCCTCTGCATTTGTTGAAATGGGGGTGATCACTTTACATGGCAGGATAAACTGTGACGATTC